TGCTCCCTACATGGAGTACCTTACATTTGTCTATGTTAATTTTCATCTGCCAGGTGTCAGCCCAGTCACTAATTAAATCATTGTCGATCAAAACGTGTTGTAAACGGGGTTGGCATATAAATGCAGTCGGCGTTTTTCAATTTTGGAGTTTTCAATTTGTAGGATAAGCTACTAGTTTGGTGAAATATCACGGTTAAGTATGCTCTGCTCTACTTCATTTTAGAAAAAATAAGTTAAAAGAAGACCTAAGTTCTACTAAGTTCATTCAAATCTGATAGAGTTCTCAGATCTGATGTTACATCAGATGTTACAGTTTTGACAACTAGTGTGCTTTGCATACATGCGCGCTTGTGTGTGTTTGTGTGTGTGCGAGAGAGATGTCTTTCGTGCAATTTTCCGCAACCCTTCAATAAATAACAACGTAAATATCGATCTTTCGGTTTCTTTGTTGTTGCTTGGTACACAGTTAATCTTGCATAAAATTGTGTCATCATCTTCAATCAGGGTACCTGCGGTCATGGAAAACCTGGATAAATTTTGGAATTCTTGGATAGAGGAAAAGTTTTGGAAACTAGCCTTGTTCATTTTTGTTTCCCGCTTCGTTCCGCAACGCGCTAACATAAATGTACGAGTGGAAGTCAGTAGTTAACTACCTTGGTAAACATCTGTTTCCACGCAGATTTCGCATATTTGAGATGCTTTTTTGCTCGCTATTCCAGTTTCTATGATTTTATTTATTTTTTGCACATACAGTGGTACCTCAGAACTCGAATTTAATCCGTTCAGAACTCCAGATCAAATCCTAAAAAGTTCGAATTGCGATCGAATTTTCTCCATCAGAAATAATGGTTCCCGGCCACCAAAAATTACACCTAAATGTGTTTTTTTAACATTTAAACACAAAATGAACCGGATAAAACAAGAAGAGCATATACTGTACTAAACAAATCTAAGCACATTTATCAAAACAGTAATTTGTAAAGTAAGAAAATAAATGTAGCCAAACAATGTGTCCTGTCCCGATCATCCGCTCCTTCCATGTGCCACACCCCCTCGTTAACCCCGTGTGGAATCCCAGTGTGATCAGCTGTTTCTGCTTGTTGTCATTAGTCCTCCGTATTTCGTCTGTGTTTCAGTTTGTTTCCCCAGTCCGGTCATTGTATTGTCCGTCTGAGTTTTGCCTGCCTTACCTGTAATTAAACCCCCTATACCCCGATACCCTGATGTCTGCGCCTTTGTCTCCATTCCGTCCTGCTCAGCACAACAATATTATTGTATTAATTACGTATTAATGGTTTATTATTAATATTAAAATAATGAATAAGAAATCTTTATTTTTAAATGTATTTTATTATATAATAATTACTGTTACTGTCTATCTGTTGTGACCGCCGATCAGCGAACAAGTAGGAATCGGGTAATAACGAAGTAGGCAGGCAATAACCCAGGACACGGGTTTATTAGGGCAACACAGGACTGACAGCAACTAAACATTAATGACGGATCTAGGGATACTGACACAGACGTGGACTAAATACACAAGAAAAGCCAGGATTAACAGGAAACAGGTGCACACAATCGGGAAGTAGCACAAGGTAACGAGATGGGCGTGGCACACAGGAGGGGCGAATGAGCAGGTCATGACAGAACCCCCCCCCCCCAAAGGCGCGCACTCCGGACACAGGGGAGGCGACGAAGGAGACAAGACCGGGACCTGAAAAACAAGAGCAAAACACATCAACGGGACACCGGGAACAAAATCGAAACACAGAACAAGGACAGGAACCAAGACAGAATCTGACAAAGAACAGGAAACGCAGGCAGACAGACCAGGAAGGGAGACACAGGGGGAACACCGACAGGCAGAACAAAAGGGCCAGGAGTGAACGAAGGAGCCAGGGGGGGACGAGGAGCAGAAACAGGAGGGACGAAGGAAGGAGGCGGAATAAAGGCAGGAGGACAACGGGGAGCCCGAGGGAACCCAGGCGGGTGAGGGAAAGCAGCCACAGGGACCACAGGCGGACAGGAGGCCGGAGCCGGAGGGGACCACACAGGGGACAAGGAGACAGATGGAGGGACCGACAGAGGAGACGAGGAGGGAGCAGGAGGGGACACCGACGCAGGCAAGCAGGAGGGGGAAGCCATGGCAGACGAAGGCGCAGCCGGAGCCAGGGAAGGTGCCGTCCGACACCCAGCCGGAGCAGGGGGGCCCGGACGCAGCCGATGAGGCGCCGACGGAGGGACCGCAGGCAGGCGACGAGGCACCGGGGGGGGACCCGGAGGCGACAGCCGAGCCAGCGCTGCAGGACCCGCAGGCAGCCACCGAGCCACGGCCAGGGGACGCAGGGGATAGTCCGGGACCTCCTCGGGGACAGAGATTTCAAGGGCTGTTGTCGGGGCCTCAGGCGGAGGCCTAGGAGCCTTGGGCGGAACAGAGGACCACTGCGGGCAGAATGGACGGGGCCGGCGAGACGGGCAGGACGGACGGGGCCGGTGCAGGAGCCCCGGGCGTAGCTGCAGGCACGTGGCCAGCAGGGGGCACCGCAGCAGGAACCTCGGGCATGTGGCCAGCAGGGGGCGGTGCAGCAGGAACCTCGGGGGTGTGGCCAGCAGGGGGCGCCACTGCAGGCACCGCCAGCACGTAGCCAGCAGGAGGCACCGCAGCAGCAACTGCTCCAGCAGGAGCCTCGTGTGCGGCAGCAGGAGGCGCAGCAGCAGAGCCCTCGTTGGGCGGTACGACAGCCGCCGGAACAAGTGAGACAGGCAGGTCAGGCACGGGCAGATCAGGAACGACGGGGGCGTCACCCTATTAGCCAGGCGTGCTGCCCGGAAGTGGTACGCAGCTAGCGGTGGTAGCTCTGCGACGGTGATGCGGGCTTTTGGTACCTGCGGGTGCAACGCGGTGGTGACGTCCCGGGTGATCAGGGATTCCTCCTTTTCACCAGCAGGAAGTGAAGCGGGGGAGAGAGAGCAGGCCCTTAGAAAGATCGTCGGTTCCCCCTCTTATATTAATCGCATTTCATTTTGCATGAGCAAAGAAAAAAGGGAATATATATGCACTTAGCATGTTTATTGAACATCTTGAGCATGAGTCGGATGCATTCCACCTGCCACAGAAGTACAATATACCATGGACCCATATCAAAAGGCAAGATTTTCTGGTTAGCCGGACAACTTGTCGGATTTAAGGTACCTCAGTTTAAATGGTCTTTATCTGCGTTCACTTACAGTACATTAAGTCCGAACTACCGTAAATCCGACAAATAATCCGACTAATCATGAAATCCAATTCTAGCCCGGTTAATTGCCATTGTTAGCGATATCAGTTGATAACACATTACGCGGGATGCTTTACATATAAAAGTCCATAGCAACACGTCCACAGATAAGTTGGACGGTATAGTGTGTGCGACCGATTTAATGAGCCACAAATGAGAAGTAGTGCTTAAAGAGTATACAACTACAACTTTCCCTTCTGTTGATAAAAGGCACAGCCATCTTAGATTCTGAACTCTGTGTTGCTCCGAGATATTTCTCGGATCTCCGAGAAACGGGAGCACGCATGCCGTCACTTCCAGTTTCAGAACTCGGAATCCGACTTGGAATACAAGCTCCCCTGGCAAATGGAATGCACCAAAACTGCCCAAAATGGGTTGACATACATTTCAGGGATTTTGAGTCAGTTTGCACTGCAGATGGGTTAATTGCATTAAAAAATTTAATAAGATTAATCATGATGATGGATTAATCCGCGTTAACCCATTACTTTTGACAGCCCTAGTCTAAATATATGTATTCAGTTAGTGTAAACATGCACGATGCTATTACAGCGAATGCGAGGCTGAGACTGAAGCATTACCCATTGTTTCCGCTGAGAGAAGTGCCTCATGACTCATTTCCCTGCACGTACAAGTTATCTTAGGTCGGCGTTCACGGTTTGACTTCTGAGATTCAGATCGAGCTCTAGGTAATTTTTTTTCGAACTGGTTAGTTCGACTTTTAAGAAATTCGAGTTCGAGAACTGAGGTACCACTGTATTTGAATTTTATTGATCACAGTTTCCCGTTTTTGACTCCGTTTACCTCTACCAATCATAGGGTATATATAATTTTAATATTGGGATTAATTTTCTTAATAATTGAACGCTATTTGCACATTGACATAAGTTGTCCACCCTCTGTGTTTATTAGGTAAGTAGATTGGCTATTATCGTACCGAAAATTGTAGTATTACTGTCGTGCCATATGCGGGATGCGGAGCGGAAACAGAGGAGCGGCAGTCAGGAAATCGGGGACCACGGGGTTTAATAAAAAGGGCAGGCAAGAAAACACGCAGTGATATTACAATGACCGGACTGGGGAAACAAACTGAAACATGGACTAAATACAGAGGACTAATGAGAACAACCAGAAGCAGCTGATCACATGGGGATCTCACACGAGGTTAACGAGGGGGCATGGCACACGGAAGGAGTGGACGATCGGGGCAGGACAATTACTATCTGAAACTGCATGATCATCAAATCAAAGCAATCCTGTGGGTTTTTGAAAATTTTCTTGTGGTACTGGAAAAGTTTTGGAAAAGTCATGGAAATTTATTCTGGCAGAACTGGGGGAAACCCTGTTCAATGCGAATCGAGCACAAATCTATATGTGATCTATGGGTGACAATGTCACAAATGAAATGACACTTCATTGGTAGGTTCCATGGCAATACAGGCTCACTGGTGTTTTTTTTTTCTTCCTCTGGTCGGGTAGGGTTTTGGGTCTTTATCCATGCGTATTTTTGCGGGTTAGGCAGGGCGATTTGGTTCTCCTGACAGGTCGGTTTGGGGCGGGTGTTAGAAAAAGCCGACCCGCGCTTGTGTCGCACATAGTTTTTTAATATATTTTAGAAATCAGTTTATTTTTATTTTTAAGTTGGTGAATATTGTCGCTTATCTTAGGAGGATTTAGTGTATTATTTGTAAGGCTCATTTTGGTTTTGATGCTGGATTGTAATATGTAAATAGAAAAATTGCCTATTCTCAACTCGTATTTATGGATTAAGTCTTTGAATGTCATGAAATGACTGTTAGTGAAAAGGAGGTGGAGATGTGTAATCCCTTTCTGTTCCCATGCGTGATAGTTAATAGTGGGAATTGCAGATTAATCCATATTGGGGTGTATTTACAGGGTATGAGAGTGCAGTTTGTAATTTTAATGGCTTTCCACTGGGCTGTCAGTGTTGTGCAAATGGCAGTATTTTTAAAGCAGTTATGTTTCTTTAATGAAATATTGAGTAAGGGTTAGTCTGCACGTCTGAGATTTTTACAGTACAGCTGCTCCTGCTCTAACCATGTAGTGTGACCATTTATTTAAGTGTTGCAGTTGGTTTGCTAAGTAAAAATGAAGAAAAGTCTGTGCTTGTAATCCGCCTTGATATTTATTTTTTTGTAATGTGGAATGTTTGATTTTTGTGTTATTGTTTTTCCAGTAAAAATGTGACATTAATGAGTTCAGAGTTTGAAAGAATTTTTCTGAAGGTATGATAGGAAGCATTGACAAATAGTAATTAAAATGGAGGAGAATTTTTATTTTGTTTGTTGAAATATGTCCTATTAGTGAGAGGGGGAGATTCATCTATTGTTCTGAGTAACGGGGAGTAGTTTAGGGTAAACAAGTCTGGCAGCCTGGGGGAGATGTTGATACCCAAGTACTGGATATTTCCGGTGTGAAATGGATCATCCTGGTCAGCAAAATCCCAGGCATCTTCAGACAGTGACAATATTACGGGTTTATTCCAGTTTATTGTGTAGTTTGATAGTTTTGAAATGGTATTAATAAAATTTAAATTTCATGTAGTGAGGGTTGAGGGTTTTGTACAAACAGCAAGATATCATCTGCATAGAGAATTTTGTGTTGAGTTATCGCTATGAATTCCATTTATTTCACTGTTCTGTCGTATTACTGCCACAAGTGGTTCTATGAAGATGGCAAACAATGAAGGAGAGAGTGGGCAGGCAGGCCATCTTCCTTGTCGGAGTGTGAATGCAGGTGATGTGATCCCATCTGTGACCACTGTAGCTTTGGGTGAGGTGTACAGTATTTTTAGTATGGGTATGCTGAGCAATATTTTTTTATAATTAAACCAAAAATTGAACAGAAAAGACAGCATTGGTATTATACAATTATACTGTTATGTCCTCATTTCAAGTATCCAACCAGCACAGAAAAAAACAAAAATCTAAATGTTTCAGCAACCACAGCAGTACATATACCTCATCACAGCACATCTGCAGTACATTTTCATTATTGATTCTGGCTAACATATGTTCATAAGACACCACCTCTGACATAAGTTTCAATCATTGCTTAAGTTTTGGGGGGGATGTACTATTCCAAAGTCTAAGAATCTCTCTGGCGGCTGTTATCACCCCCACTTTTATAACTCTGTATGATCCCTAACAGGCACAGTTTTAGTGACTTAGGTATTGCCATACCCAACCCTTTCCCCATATATTCCAGAACTGGATGTATCAGTTTACATTCACAGAGTGCATATACAAATGTTCCTGTGTCTGTGTTACATTTCCAACATAGCTTACTGGCCAAAATGCCCACCCTATGGGGTTTAGAAGGTGTAACATAAAACCTATGTATTCATGTATATTGAATAAACTCACCCCTAGCCTCCCGTATGTACTTTCCCATATTTTCCAGTATTTTTAACCGTTCCTCCTCCCTGAATTCACATTGTAAGTCTCTTTGCCAAATAACCTTCAGATTGTTGCACAAATCCTTTGATAGCCCAGTGATGAATTTATAGAACCCGGATACCCTGTGCGCTGTACTTGGTAAGTCCAAAAACTCCAAAACTGGGTTCTTACCCTGAATGAATTTACCCTTAGTGATACAGTCTCTGATTTGTAAGTACTTCCAGAAATTCCCTTTGTGCTCCAAACCATATTTTTGCATGAGTTAAAGAAAAGACATAAAGTTTCCATCTAAATACAAGTAATTTATCTTGTGAATCCCTTTTTTAAGCCAGTGATCGCAATAAATAGTCCTTTTCCCAATCTGTATGTCTGGGTTGTGCCATAGAGAGGCATAGGATTGTCTTAAGTGTGATACTTTACATATCCTGTGTACCTCTTTCCAGGTTGACTTAGAATGAGCCAATACTGGGTTTGAGGAGAAATGACATCCATCAGTCCCTGATCCATGTGAGAGAACGTCCAAAAATGTGAAAGGTGTGACCAGCTCCTGTTCCATTTTTATCCAGCTTATCTCTGTGTTTGCACCTCTCCAATGCTCATTCAATCTGGCCATTTCAAATGCAAGGTTATACAGCCTAATGTCACGTTTCGGCAGGCAGGTGAGCAGGGAAGCAGGCGAGAGCCAAAATGACGGGTAATCAGGGTCTTTAATCCTTGACTGACACAGGTAGGGACATCTAACGGACAATACACGACAATACAATGCTGGATCTGGCATACATGGGGAGACGCGGACTAATATACACAAGACAAGGCAAAAGAAACAAGAAACAGCTGGGCACAATCGGGGAAGTACACGTGGATAATGAGGGGGCTTGGCATACACTAGGCGCGGACGGAGCGGGGCGTGACACCTAACATTAGGGAGGCCTAAGCCTCCTACTGTATGTCTCTGGATGAGCTCATTTTCTTGGTATTAATTCTTGGTCTTTTCTTTTCCCAAAATAAAGTTTTAATGGTATTGTCAAAATGCTTAAGCAATATTGGTGATATATCAACAGGTAACATTATAGAAACATAATTGAATTGTGGGGCAACCACCATTTTTATCACATTAACTTCCCCCCATAAAGTGAGCTTTAATCTTCCC